TATTATTACAGTTATATTTATACATGGCACACGTCAGGAAACTTTAGATAAGCACAAAAAAATATATACAAAAACAAAATCATTTCATATTTCCACCGATGTCGTGCAGTTCACGACTTCTACCATATGTGGAGCTGGCGTCAATTCAACAATTACCGATAGTAACATGGCCATGACAGAAAATGTCTAAAATTATATTCTGCATGGAAATATTGGTCTTTGACCGCACATACCGCTAAAACCAAGGGTCTAGATAAAACAGCGAAACCCCATATAGATATGCCTAGGTCATACTGTTCCATGTGGGATGACAGCGCTTGTGCTATTGTGAATACCTGAATGAGTAAAATAACATCAATTACCAAAAAAATGTGGATTTTCAAACTTAAAATGCCCTTTCATGAACAAAAGATCAAATTTTGCTCACATGCTTGAAAACATCGCGCGGCGCGTGTAAGTGGACAAGTTAATGCGAAAAGTGTTGGTTATTGATTTACGCTCTGCGTCCACTTGACGCACCGCGACTGCTTGTGCAACGCGGCTCGCGCATCAACTTCTCAAACTCCATTTCAAAACATATGGTTATATACTCACATCTTTCCTATACGGGTACCATATGGTTTCATTTCGAATCAAGCATACTCTTGATTTGCTGACCTAGAAAACAGTGGCTTCAGACATTTCCAAATATAGTACACATTTTCAAACCTAACCTCATCATGAAGTCTAGCCGGAGCTACCGTAACCGCCAAAAAGCTGTAGATACATAGAGCAATCGAGGGCATGCAGATTATCAGGTCCGTGATACCATGAATGCGTTGATTTACCATCATAAGTGTGAGAATAACAGATGGCACAATTATGACAAGCATTATGAAAGCATAGAGCTGGAAAAGGGTCAATGGACTTTACCTTAGCAGAAAATTGAAAAACGGCCCTTTTACACCGCTACAGTATGCTAGCTGAAAATCAAGCAGCATATAATGCATTAGCTGCTGACGCAGACGACACTATGCAAAAACGATTAGGCAGAACTCTTAAGACTTTCTCGAATGGAGAATTATTGCGGTGTACTGTAATGGTGCAAAAGGGTCACATCTCTGAAATCTCTCCCTACCCTGAAAATTCGATCAAGCTCTCTGACCAGTCCACTTAGGCGCCCATAAGCTTCCATTCTTTCCAAAAGCTGGTAGGCAATATCAACACTGTTTCCATTGAGCTGTAAATTTAGCATTCGATAATTGTCTTTCGGCG